GGAGAAAAGCATGCAGCTGCAGCGCAAAACCTGATCTCCTCAGGACTAGAAAGGAGCATGGTAGCCACAGAAACCATGGATAGTGCCACCCCGTTAGTGTTAACTGAGGCGGGACATGCAGAGCAGCAGCGGTCCAAGGTCCCATTCGGCAGAGTGCGCGGGACGGGCCCCTGGCGCAGCAGGTCTGTCCTGGCACCTTGCGGAGGAGGTGGACTAATACTGATCCACGTGACCCTTCAGTGGGAGCCGCAGGAGATCAGGAGGTGCAGAGTCGGCTCACAAACGTTTCAGGTCACAAAAAAATCGGGTTGCAAACAGATTTCATAAAAAAGATTCCGCAGGTTGCTCCCTCTGCATCAGGTGAAGATCGTGTTTGCGCCTGCCTTCCCTGCATGGGCACAATCGCAGTTGTGCTGGGTGGGGGGGAGATGGCCTCAATCCTGCTGTGGGGCGGAGATGCCCACAATCATGCTTGGGGGGTGAGGGAGATGCCTGTGATCATGCCCCTCCTCCCTGCATGAGCATGATCATGATTGTACCTGTCTCACCCCCACACCCGAGCATGATCGCAGACAGTTCCTCCCCCCCCCACCAGCATGCTCACTGGTGTGGTGGGGGCGAGGGAGATGGCTGCGACCTCTGTAGTTCTTTCTCACTTCCTTCAAATTTTTGTGAGTAGAAAAACATAGTTACAGGACAGATGAACCTTATTTACATTGGACCTTATGGGGAAATTTGACTTGGCTCACAACCAATTTGGGCTGCGACCAGTCGTGGAAAGGATTAAGTTCGTGAGCCAAGGTACCACTGTACCTCAGTACCCCAGTCCTCAGCCTCCCTGCCTAAGGGCTGACAAATTAACCACACTTGGCTGTGCCATGCATGCATTATGCTTTGTTCAGTGAGAAACAGCCCAAATATGTGGAAGTCAACTCAGCAAGACTTGAAATTAATGCTTCTCTGCCAATATCTCTCCTCCCTGCCCTCAGATCCACCCAAGAATACTTATCTGCGCCAGGTACCTGAAGGAGCCATAAAAGAGAACAGCCACATCATTTTGCAATGTTTTTCCGAAGGAAACCCTCCTATCCAGAACTACACGTGGTATAAAGACG